GTTGCAATCCGCGTCTTTTATTTAGATTAATCTCCAAATATCACACTCATGTATATGACTGTACCTAATTTCGGTGGTAATTTTTACTATTTAAGTATTCGAGTAAACTACACCAAATATTAAATAATACTTCATGATATTATTCTACAATATTTAATTAATAGATATAGTCATCGATATTAGGCAAAACTTACCTGAAAATTACTCAAGTGTACTATAAAAACCGAAAGTGTTTTGTCTGAATCGAAAGTGTTCCATCAGAATCAAACCGTTCTGATATTTGATTGACTTTTCAGTGCCCTACAAGAAATCCGAGGCAAACGTCCATTCATAATATCGCGAGCCTCTTACCCTGGTCTCGGTCACTACGCGGGACACTGGACTGGAGATATACTGAGCACCTGGGAGGAAATGAGAATGACCATACCTGGTAAGTCTGATCATATACTACTGAAGGGGTACCAGTCTTATTAGGAGAGTTTATTAAGTTATTCAAGGCTATTATAGTCTATTCAAGTTAGCAACCTAGCATAGGCCCCTCTCTTTCGCACTCCTTCATAAAAATGACAAGGCCTTAAGATGGAGGCACAAGGTTAAGTGGGCGTTATTAAGCGTTATAATAGTAAGTGCTCGTGCATAAAGGTGTTTAAAAAATAAAACAAAAATATTTTTTTATTCATTTCTATTATAGTTTTTTTCACCAATCTCACATTTTACGTCAGTCAATGTCTTGAACGAAGTGACAGAGTAAGAAGGTATCAGTCCATTAAGAAAGCCAAAGTCGCAAGAATCACGGAAAGTAGTAAACAGAGAAAACAATACACGTCCGCACCGCACAGATGTAAAAGCCGACTTATTAGCTTGCCATTATGAATGCAGCTATTATAGATTCAATAAAGCACTTTTTAGATAAACGCGTAACATCGCATAGTATACAGAAAAGATATGAAATCGGAAATTTTGTACTGAATTGATTTGTAAGTCAATGACTGAATTCAATTTAGAGCTGAATTTTTTGTGTGCAATGGGCTCATAGATATTTATTTTTTTTATGCTGGACTTAGCATATCCAGAAGAGGTTGTTGACCTTTCTCTGAGTTGTTAAAGTTTCCTCGCGATATTTTCCTTTAACTAGGGGTCTTAAGGTGGTAACCTGGACATTAAATTTGAACCCTGAACAGGAACTAAACCGCCAAAGGTCCGCCTGAAAATTTTACGGATCGCTCTAATTTGTTGAAACTATTGCTTCAGAACTGTAAGGAGCTGCTGTTTTATATGAAAAACGATGATTATAAGCTTCAGATCTGTTATTGAAAGCAAGAATCAGATAGAGAATTTTCCGATGGCCATATCAAATCATGGTGGAGGCGTTATGTTCAAAACAATTACGAAATACATTTTCTATTCCAAAATTCTCCTTCCTTTCTTTAGGTTTTTGGTCAAGAGGTTTTCCTCACTTGAGGTCAAGTACCACCAGGCTATCAGAAACACTCTGTGATAGCACCAGTAGCTACTATCATACTCTTGGATTTAATGTCAACGTGATGTCTCTTAGCGATGCTGTCGTTCAACCTGTTCGGCATCCCGATGGTTGGCGCGGACATCTGCGGCTTCGGCGGACGCACGACGCCAGAGCTCTGTAAGCGCTGGATGCAGTTAGGCGCCTTCTATCCCTTCTCGAGGAACCATGCTGATAACCAACAGCCTGTGAGTATACCTATGATGACGTCAGATTCCAGCTTCAGGCCGATGCCAGACTTCACGCAAAAAATGAAAAATCAGGAGAAAATTTAAATTATTTGACTAGTGAAGCCTCAAAAAAAATAGTCGGAGCATTACGGAACCTAGACAGATTAATGCAGAGAACAAAATTTAAATCCATTGATTTAAATATCATTACATTGGCACATTTAGTGGAATACCCCTATGTATTGAAGAGTTTTATCAAAAGATTGGCAAGTTATTTTACTAAAACCTAAAAAAGTAAAATAACTTGCTATAACTAAATATAAATAATATAAATAACTAATAAAAAAATAGTTAACTGTAAATATGTTGTGTGTTAACTTTTTTCATTAATTTATTTTAATGTTCTGCTAATATAGCTTTGTTTAAGGTTCCAGGTTGATTGTGCGTTCTTGTAAATTTTCTTAACATTAGTTGAAAATTTTATAATTTATTAAAGTTTAACGTAATCAATGTTAAACTTGTACAATTTATACATTTTCAGCCGTTTCTGTTTTGTTACAAAATGTGAACAAAAATGCATATTATTTAATTTCGATTTTTTTTAACAAACTGTACTCAGTCTATTTTCATTTAATTGCTACTTTGTATGTCTTATTCTTAATCTGTTCCATTAAATGTGTATACGACTCATTAATTGGTCAAAATGGCGTTTTCGGCTTTTTACATTTCCAGTGACGATGACAATATATTGATTAAGGATTGGTTTCGTAGGACCATGACCCTGCAGCCTTCACCGCAGATGTAGTAGAGGCAGTGAAGAAAGCGTACCGCATCCGCTACACGCTTTTGCCGTATTACTACACGTTGTTCTGGCGTGCACACGTCGATGGGGAGACTGTAGCGAGACCTCTCTTCTTTGAGTAAGTTATTATATCATCAATTCGTACCCTTGGTATAATAAAGCCTGTCTTACGACTAAAGTAGAGAACAAAAAGCAACGAGAAATGACACTCTCTGCCCTAGCTTTAGATACCGCACCATACACAAAATGGATAAACTCGGTGCCTCAAAATTCTTAAGATGAAGCTCCTTAAGTATACATAAGTTTTGCATTGCATCGAGCATGTTTGCGGAAGCTCGCATTCCGGACTTTTTCGTTATGTTACAAGCGAGAGTGGCCTCGTTTTGGAAAAGAGTGCTTGCATCTGAGAATGCCATCCTGAGAGTAGTATGTGTCACGTCCTTCGACAGCTCTATTTTTAAATACTGGATATCTGTCCACCGCGATGCGAATTATTAATATTTTTGAGATGAGGTTTATTAATAGTTTTGTTAATGGGTTTACAAAATGTTTTGGTTTTGTAATGCCTGAGTAAAGATTTCAATTATTATTATACATTATTAGTGTCGAATACGTGGTCTATTTATGTAAATTATTTTTAATTGTGTTCCCTTTGCATCTCTCTACCCTAAATTCAGGCATCCACCTGAAGAATATTACTTTATAGCAATAAGATCGCCTGTTATTACATAAGCTTGCTCTAATATTGTAATTGTATTTTTTAATGCGTAAATCACAAAAAAATATTCAATACTTTTCAGATACTACGGCTACGACCGCTTGTACCCGATTGACGACCAATTTCTAATCGGCAAGCACGTAATGATAACTCCCATACTCAAAGAGAATGCGACCACAACACGACCGTTCTTCCCTGGCCCCCACAAGTTCTATAACTTCGTTGACGGGCGGTTCCTTGCATCTGGCGACTATTATAACGTTAGCGATGACGAAATTGTCTCTGTCAGGGTAAGCGATAGTCTCCTTTTTCGCATTTTATATATAACCGCTTTTCAAAATAGTTTCTTTTTGACATATTATTGGAATTTATGCAGGAAACGCTAAATTTTATTGTGAATGGGACACCGAGCTATTCATTGGTTAAAATATTCACATAACAACATTGGGTTGGTCTACTAATTTTCAATAATGCGAGGCAGATACGTCTTAGATTTTTTTAACTATCTATCTGATGTTCTACCTCGGGTTCAGTTTCGCGTGTGGGTGCAGTGAGTGTGGTTTGTGGGAAAAAAGTGAGTGACAATTGTAACGCCACAACAAATCGCGATGAAGGTGGTAGTCGTCGACAGCGCAAGAGGTTAGGCGGATGTCTGCTCTTAAAGCTGTCATCTGCCGCCGTCCAGTCAATCCGTGACCATGGAGCGTGCAACCGTTCCGCAATATCGGGAAAATAAAAAGAAATCATACTGTGATAAGAAGCCTGAAATTAGTGATAATCATTTACAGAATAACCACGAAAGCCTTAAAAATCTATATAGATTTGATGCTTTTAAGATAGGCTCTAGAAAGCCATCAATGTATATACAGGGTGTAACCGAAAGGTGCAGCGGAAATTCAAGGTCTTAGATAGTTACTATCATATAGTAAATTGGCATTGAATGATGAAATTTTGCTGAATATTGTGACTAAAAAATTACGATCGAACATCACTAATCTGACACAAGATGACGATTGCTTCTTAGAGTCTATCTCAAAGGCATGAAATCATCAGGTAGATCATTATGAGGAACTTGCAAGAAGACGTTCGACGGGCGTTTTCATCAAATCCAGAATATTCTTAAAAAGGCGTCGAATTAAATATTGGTTAAACATGCGTTGGTCCCACGGCTATGGGACTCGATAGGAAGACACTTTAAATATTGTATATACAATATTTTGCTCTTTTTTTACGTAATAATATTAAGTGACGGGACGAACAAGTCGTGAGCCCGTTGGTAAGCGACATACATGTTCATAGCAGTTGCAGTGCCACTCGGAGCTTTAAATCGCAAAGATCTGAGGGGCACTGGCACTGCGCCCGTCACCCTGAGACAAGTTGAAAAGTTCCATGTGCCTGTAATTTCCCCAGCACCCTTACCCTTCAAAACCGGAACACAGTAATGCTCACATTACTGCTTGGCGGCAGAATAAGTACGGTGGCAGTACTTCACTGGAACTCTTTCACAAGGAGCTCTACTGCTACTAAAAAAGTTCCGTGTAACGAATACTAGAGTAACGGGATTCACTCCAAGGCTCGACTTTTTAACCGAGTTTTAGAAAGGAGAATTCAACGGATTTTTTTTGTTTTTATGTTACGCGATAACTCAAGGCATTTGTGAACCGATTTTGATGATTCTTTTTCTGTTGGAAAGAGGGTACCTCAGCATTGGTCCCATTTAAATTTGAACATCTCTTAAAAGCGGCAAACTAGGGGATGAATTCTCTTGTGCCTGTAATTTCACCAGCACCCTTACCCTTCAAAACCGGAACACAGTAATGCTGACATTACTGCTTGACGGCAGAAATAGGTAAGGTGGCAGTATTACTCTGTACGAACTCTTTCACAAGGAGCTCTACTGCTACTAACTTCATGGAGACGTTATTTTATTTTTAAAACCAAGCAGTATTGCATCCACAGACTTTCAAGAAAATTACTTGCTTCATCTGAGAATCGAACAAACTTTATGTGAAAATAAAATATGGTACTTGAAAGGAACTTATAATTGACCCTTTTTATCGCCATCATAAAAATACCAAGTTGGTTTCTTAAAAGTATGAATACAGTATCACTTAAATGCGTCCATGAAGCAAAATATCCTGTCTACAATATTTAAAGTACCTTCCCTCCGTGTCCCGTAGCTTTAGGACGCCCTGTCAGTGTACCGTCATTCTTTTGTATAAAACACTTAAGCGTCATTTCGAAATTTTTGTCAGGGGAGCCTTTCTTGGGTTTTAACGACTGCTTTAAAATATCTATGTCGTGTTTTATATTCAATTTTAAAACTTAATCAAAACCAACACAAGATCCCCTGAAAAAATTATTCGAAATGACGCTTTCGTCTTTTATACTGAACACCGACTTGTATTCTACTGAACCCTATACCATAGGTTCCCAAACTTTTTAGCTGACCGCCCACTTAAGCAAGATAAACAAGATTCAACGCTCACCACCACAAAAAATTATTGAAAACACGTATTTTTTTTATATATCTCTTAATTAGTATTAGTTGATGTTCACAAGTTGTAGTCGAGAGCTCAGTCGGTGTTTAAGGGTCGTATTCTAGAACTCTACTCAATGCTCAAGTCAGGATTGCACTGGAAATACGACCCTAATGGCAGGGACTTGAGTATGATTTCGAGTGCTTTAAACCATACTCAAATCCAGACTTGAGCATTGAGTAGAGTTCTAGAATACGACCCTAAGAGTCTTCCTAGATGAAAATACAAATCTTTCCCTAAGCCTCTACACTTCCCCCCATTTTTTTTCTGGGTCTCTTAATTAGGCCTGCAGCACCCACAAGGGGGCGTTGTCGCCCACTTTGGGAAAGGCTGCTTTACAGCTATGACTACAGAGATGTCCCTATTCATTGTATTTAAATTTTTATTGAATTGATTTTCAATTATTTATTATGTGAAATTACTCCACTAGCTTGTTATAATTTGTATTAATAATTATAACAAACTATTACATATTAGTGGGAAAAAAAATACATAATAATACAACACAATAAATACAACTGCCTCCGTGGCCGAACGGTTACCATGCTACGCAGAGGTCCCAGGTTCGATTCCCGGGCCGGGAGAAATACTTGTATGGCCTACATTTATTTCTCTCGTGAGTTTGGGTGTAATTTGTGGTTGTCTATGTGTGTGTCCATGGCACCCGCGACACAGGGTTTCCCTAGTGCGGGGCTATGTTGATTGTGAGCGTTATTATTAATTGTAGTGTAGTTTATATAGATAATTTAGGTCTTTTTCAAATGCGACATTCTACGAATCCCCTACGATTCTTCAGCGCCCACTGGGGGAGGTAGAGCCTACTTTGGGAAACTATGCCCGATACCTAAAAATGCGTTATATAATATTTGAATAATTTTGTGTCCAGAGCGGCGCGGTAATTCCTCTCCAGCAGCCGGCGATGTCGGGACCAGTGACTACGACCAACTGTCGCAGCAGGCCCTTGCAGCTCATCGCCACGCCCGTGCAGATCCTGTGGCAAGACAACGTCGCAAAGGGAGAACTCTATTGGGACGACGGAGACAGCCTCAGTAAGTCTTGCTATTATATGGTACAATACCTGTTAACCTGTCAATACCTGTTGTTAACCCTCGGCGACTGAGGGGAATAATTTATAAACATTCTACTGAGGAATAGTCTGACAGACGTACATTACCTTTGCCGTTAATTCATACTTTTTCGGAATCGTTTGTCTTAAAAATATACGTATACAGTCATTGAAATGTAATAACTTTACTTAATACTTGTATAAAAAATGTTATTGAAATACGCGTTTATAAGAAAAATTATTTATTATCAATTTTAGTGAGATCAAGGCACTTAACCCCATAGCCATGTTGTAAATTTTCTATATAAAAAATATTTAAAAAATCAACAACATTAACTTAAATTTGCGTTAACATTAACTTAAAATAATATTAAAAAAAAAAAGGAAAATCGTTACAGTAGTTTTTCTCTCAGTTAGCTTCAAAGTTCAGACTTACAATTTTCGCAAATTTGCACCACGCACTTAAGACAAATTGGTTTTTTTGCAAATATAACAAGAAATTTTCGTTTACTGCTTCAATTTGCTTGGACATATACGGCATATACTTCCTTCTAGATGATGGCTTAGATGCTGTTGGTGATCTTGGAGCAGAGTATGTAGAATAGAATACGTTTATTTGCCAGAATACAGTAATTAAATATGTCGTAAGTAAAATTAGGTACATTTGTATTCAACCTGTAAGCAGATGTGCAAATATTAATGGGATTTAATGTTTAGTCTTAGTTTCTAATTAATGTAATGAATTTGTAAGTTCTAAGTATTCTTTATTACTATAGAAGCAATGTGTCGAAAGCCATTTTGTCAATTTTAATTGAAAAGTATGTCCTTGTAACAATTTAATTTCGTTTGGTAATTTATTGTAAATAATTATACGCATGTTGAAGCAGTTATTCTTATAAATTACTTTATGGCGACGATGTTGGTATAAGAGATTCATAATTTTTGCACTAGTTTGCCTTTGAATGACTTCACTGCGTGTTTTAAAATATTGAGGAAGAGTGTTGACAAATACGCAGATATCTAATACTAATATGTACATGCATGGTAATATGTTTAGCCTTTTGAACAGCGATATCACCGGGAATCGAACCTGGGACCTCCTTACCCATTGCCTACAGTGCAAACCGTTGGGCCACAGAGGTCGTCGTACTTACTGTAAAGTAGTACCTAGTTTGAGGTTGGAAAAATGTTCTTTCATCATACTACCACTGCTCGTAAATTTTAACTAAAGTTGTTTTTGTATATTTGTATAATAAGAATTCACAAGTACAAGTAATATTATCATAACAAGAGCCTCAAGTTATGACCCTCTTTAGGTATTCTTAGAATATGTTACTAAACTGTTTATTTTATTGTAACTTGCAGACAGTTATGAAGAAAAAAAATACAGCCACATTGAATTCACACTAAAAGACAATGAGTTACAAAGCTATGTCAAGTGGTGGGGTTATGGTGTACCATCGGTCAACAACATCACCATATTTGGTCTCAAACCGATTGAGTCGGTGACACTCAACAACAGGAACGTTGATTTCATTTACAAATATCACACCCAAGTGTTAACTGTTGAAAATCTTAATCTATCTTTGGACAAACCGTTCAAATTGACATGGCACTATCCTGTAGCAGAGGATGATAAGGATGAAGATGATGAAAAGTATAATAAACAACACTCCAAAACGGTAGACTGTGTTAATAATGAGAAACCGTGTACAATTAACGATTAAGTATTATGAACCTTAGTGGAACAATCTCCTAAGTTCTTTATCCCCAATTGCATGTACATTTTTTTCTAGGGGTATAAATACAGGGAATGCTGATATCAAACTTCTTACAGCCAGCAATAATGGTGGAGACAAATGTAACAACATATTGTTAAGTTCGTTGGTAGTTTGTAAGCAGTGAGGATACACTACGCTCCATTGTACTAAATTACAGGCAGTCTCAGGCGCCACCAAGCACGACTTGTTCGTCCCGCCATTAGTACCTTAAAAAAGAAAGAAATATCCAAATAGATAGATTTCTAGAATCGTCTTTTTAATCTACCGTAGTATATGAAAAAGCTATTCAATTTTAATATTTCTAAATAATGCTCAGCGTTATGTTTTCCCTCTTTCGTCCCGAATAATACTAATGTACGGACAACAGCACATCAGACTACACATTTTTGTTCGAAAATCGCCTTCAATGCAACGGAACAAGATACGTCAATGTGTAGCTTGGTATGCTAGCGTGTGTACATAACTTACAATTTTGACGATATGTACGTCACAATGTAGAACATATCTGCCGTCCGCTATCATAAAAAACCATAACCCAGTTTTAGAATATGGAAATTGTTTAATGGTATTTCAGCTATGCCTCGTCAGGGTAAGTTCCGATAAGTCGAAAACGTTAACTAATTTTAACTGTTTGAAAGAGAATTCTTTGCTATTTGACCATTTGTCACTTGGCCACGTTTTAGTTATTGGGCGACAGATATGTAATTCATTTATTTCTCAAATATAATATAATTAAGGCTCTGTGAACGAAAGTTCCTTGGCTTCCATCTACGATTGAAATGTTTCGGCCGTTTCTCAACTAATGTGCATGAAATTTTAAATTAATATCAAAATTCGGTGAAGGAAACATCGTGATGAAGCACGTCGAAGAAGGTTCACAACCCGCGGAAACCGTGTGAAGTCCGTTCCTAAGACGCATTGGGCCAGTGTTGCGGACTTGAGCCGCAGTTCAAAAAATTAAATCCTACGGGTCGTGACTAATCGCAAATATATTATTCCAATCTGCTTTCGCAGTTTGGTTAGAAATTGTATTATGTTCTCTTGTATGCCTTGTTTGTATGAAATAAATAAATGAAAAAAACACACACACACACATTGTGTGCCGTCAAAAACCTTTACAAGGACACGTACACTAAAAAATAGTAGAAATAAAAGTATGTCAATAGAGAAAATTGTTAAAAATAAAGCAAAATTAATCAACACATTCCGTACCATTGGTGTAATAAAACCACGTGTGATCGTATATCAAGTTCAAGTACTTTTATCAGGTTCAAATAATAAATATAATACGAACATGAAACAAATTGTATTACAAAGTTAATTACGGAAAATATCGGTCACAGAATCTTTAATCCTCACTCCTGAAAAGTTATTGTCTTTGCAGATGTGACCTTGTTATACCAAGGGTGCAATTTGAATGTCATTTTTTTACATTTGTCATAAATTCATTACTATAGTACAACGGCTTATTCAAAAGCAAGATCATGAATTTCTGATTCGAGCTGTGTAAATAAGTTACCGTGAATTGTAAGTTATGTCCTTTCGTACTAAATGGGACGACTAATTGCTATTTTTCCAAATAATAAGTTTTTTTTTAAGTACAAATTGTAAGTTTCGTTCAAAATTTAGGTACAATTAAATAATAAGAGCTTGGATGTTTAATTAAAAGGTTCGAAAAGTTTGCCAATTAAGTCACTTATGGTAACCATAATGTAATAATATAATGTATTCTAGTCATAAGTAGCAATAGCTTTTTGGAATTTCGATGTTGTACTGCAATATTTTGCTGTTTAGTCGTAAAATAAACCTTAATATTCATAGGACCATATCATCTTGAAAGACACAAGCAATGTTGATCACAAAGGTGATATTGTAAAATAACATCATTTATGGTCGTTTTGCACTTTTCCCCCTAAAAATTAAGTACTTATTAAATGTAAATGGATTCAATGCAAAGTGAGTGAAAGAGATACCTTTATACCATATGATTTATATTTAAGAACTACATGAAAGAACATTCAAACTTCGAACGACCAATTAACAGCAGCATTTCATTAATATTATAACTCCTAATAAAAAGAGAGTAAGTTCTCATTGCAACTCATACTTTGCACTTTTAAAAAAATCATACAATCATAATGCAACATACGGGTGCTTCGAGCGCTCTTATTTTAAATAAGATAAAAGATTTTATCTACACACATATCATAAACTCTCCATAATGTGTTCAACAACCGCAAATTACGACCAGCATAAAGGTAAACTGTTTCGTTTGAACAAACTTCTTATCTGTGAAAATGTTATTATTGCTTCATTAAAATTTCGAACATCTCTGAAAAACTAAACAAATTCATTTGACCTCAATTCTAATATCAGTCGAGATGAAGTTAAATGAAATGTCAATAGCCATTGACCTATTTAGTAGGTCAATGTCAATAGCAAAAACATTTGACAATTTCACACGTTACTTGATATCGAATGATGTGATAGTTAGGGCTTAGACTATGGAAACTAAAGGACATGTTATGTTACATATATAAATTAGACGTTATATGTCTTAGAGGATAAAAAAAATGAAAGGAGCTGCCCTAACTACGGAATGAACGTGCATACCTAAACAAAAATCTAGAACGAACAAATGGCGGATTATTTCTTTAGTGCGTACCATAATCTATCGATAAGTCATTATCGACATGCAAACATTTAATTAAAGTATATCAATATTCCATTTGGGAACATTTTAGGTTGTTATGAGAATATCCGGGAATGTCACATGAAATTTTGAATTTATTGTTTTGCGTTTACAAATACTCAAATATTACGAAAAGTGATTTTCCACAGAAAAAAAATATGTTTGTAATTTGAGAGTATATAAAAAAGAGAAAACTTTAAAATATAAATCCTATACATTTCAACCTCAAAATTCTTATTTTCATAGAGAAATTTTTAAACAATTTTCAAATAATGTTAGTATAAACATGTTTCGCATATATTAAATAGCATGCAAATATCTGATTATACAATGTCAATTGCCTACTATTGGCCGAGCGCCTTTGATTTGTGCAGAAAAATTGACATTTTCCGAAGTGAGACAAGTAGTCGCGAGCGGCTGCGAGTAGTGACAAGCCACGTCACAATGGTCTGTGTTCAAATTTCATTAGACATTCCCGGATATTCCCATATAACCTAAAATATTTCCAAATGGAATATTGATCTACTTTAATTAAATGTCGATAATGACTTATCGATAGATTATGGTACGACACTAAAGAAATCCGCCATTTGTTTGTTCAATTTTTGTCTATGTATGCACGTTCATTCCGCAGTTAGGGCAGCTCCTTTCTTTTATTTTTTTCCATCCTCTAAGGTTGGGGTTGATTCTAGTTTGTCTATGAATTAAAAATAAAAACTACGGTTATGTGACAATCGTGAAAAAAGTTTTTATTTGCCGCCAGTTGTAACATGCGGTTCCTGAACACTTCACAGAGAGCTTTTAATATGTGTGTAGATAAAGCAGTGTATGTAACTGTACATAATTAGGCATTAAAACACTCGTGCGATGTTTTAATGAAACTCGCTTGTCGGCTCGTTTCATAAACCCACACTCGTGTTTTTATGCCTTTCATTGTGTAACAGTCGCATAAACTACTATTAGTAAATAAGATTTATGAAGTAGTATGTTAACACTTTATCCAATATTCATGTAATTTTTTTTATTTGCTCAAATGTGTGTTTTCTATTTTTTTATCTTGAAAATCGTTTTAGACGAGAACTCCTTTGGCTTTGTACGCCCGTTGATGTTCTTAAAGAAAATGTTTATTGCATTTCTGAAAACTAGATTAGAAAAAAAAAACACCACTCATTGTACAAATGTCTTAATTTTTATCTATTTTAAGTAAAATTTTAGACTGGAAGTCAAAATATTGTTCTAGATTTTTATATGTATTGCACTAACACTAAGTCTGTTGACTAATAAAGTCAAACTTACAAATTTGACTTTAATTACTAAAGTATTTAATGATATATCGACGTGGCTTATTCCAGCAATGACTGTAACCAAGTATTTAAAATTTTACTGGCTAGGTAAAAAATCGAGAATTGGTCAATAAAAGATGATTTAGTCGGTCATAAAAGAAAATCGGTTTTAAAAAAACGTGTTTCACAGATAACACTAAATAACCATAACCTTATTCCGGCGTTACCATACGTCAATCTCAAGATTGGACATTCGTGTGTGGTCAACCCCTTTATATTTTGAAAACAGCGTATCATTATTTATTTATTTGCTGACCATTGGCGATAGAGTCATCAGCTTAAACAAGCAACAAAGCATTAAGAAACTTAAAACGTAATAATACTTAAAATTAAAAATTAACTACAAAAACCACCATTTTCCGCTTTTTTTGCACACACAGCGTATCAGCAAAATCTTGTTTTTTTTTTGCGACCAGAACCTATTGTTACGATTTTCCAAAAACAAATATCCTCTGGTGACGCCGGAATAAGGTTATCCCAAAGTGTACATATAATAAAACACTATACATATAACTTCAAAACGGCGGATTGGGAAAATTACTTTTTTGCCAGTAGTATGGGTTGAATTACTAGTTTTTCCCTTATTAGTAAAATTGTAAATACTCGATTATTAGTGACGCAGGAACAAGCCACGCAATATATTGAAACAGTGTCGTAGTACAATTGTATTCACATATCCAGGCCATTATAGTTTTTGCTTTAGGTATAAAGGAATGTGTTCGTATGCATATTAAACAATGAAGCTGGCATTCCTGCACCTTAGAAAGTGAAATGTGATATCAGAGGGTTAGAATTACTATAGTGATAAGTTCAAACATTATGCCAAAGTTATGAGGTGATTATGTTCATAAACAAACTGTATTAAGTTTAAATGCACTAATAAATGTTCACGCACATATACAGAGTTTTATTTCAGTTTTAAGACAAATAGAGAAGACAGGATCTAGGACAACATAATATATTTTATTTTCATTATTTTTGGAAAACTTACAGCTAGGTAACAAGAATAGAATAGCAAGTATAATACACGCCTGATAGACCATTGCGTTGTACGCTGAGGGCTAATTAAAAGTTTCCAGAGATTTTTACAGTGATAGAAACAAACTATAATAAAAAAGGTGGAGACGTAAGAAAACAAACATAATAAATATAAATAACGAAATTAAATACGTCAAACAGTTATAGTAGCTACATATAAGAGAAAAACGTCACTGAATAAGCGCTTTAGTTTACTTGTATTGGCGTTGAACAGGTTTACCTCACCATATTTTTTAACTAAGGAGTTAAATGAGCGAGACGCTCTATTTAAAAATGCATTTTGTTCAACGGGTGCTGAAGGGTGATTTATGTTGATTTTCGAGTTTTGTTAGTTATACAGCAAATTTGGGACTAAGTAGGGCTGCGTCATGGATGTACAGTTTATTAATACATAATTATAATGTACCATACATAGTGAAAGGACGGAAAAAAATTCGTGCTTTATTCCAGTGCGACCATGGTCGAGTTTTTGAAATTTGAGTAACCTGAAAAAGTCCCTATTTAGTCGGGTCTAGTCGCAAAAAACTAGATTTAGTCGGTCCGCCGTTCAAAAGTTCCATGCTGAAATAAGCTTATTCCAGCGGCACCATTTCTCAATTTTGAGAACCACAACACCTAGCTTTGATCTGATTACAATAAAAAAGGTCGTGGTTTAGTCGGTTTCAGTTGTTAGTTATTAACCAACTAGAATAAGGCACGCAAACAAAAACAGTTCAGAGTAGAAGTCTGAAAAATATGAAGAGAGAGACCCATCTCGAACAATGGACAATCAGGCTGATGAGTAATTATTTCTAGTTTGTCTATGGTTGTAATATACGGAAATATTCTGTGTCTATGGTCAGATTTTTCAAATAATGGCGGGCTGGGAAAACCCAAGTTATCTGATTAGTCTGTGTACTCAGTTGTTGTAGATTCTCTCCTCAGTGATTTTCTTCATAATTCAATCAATTAATCTTCGATTTAAAAACGCGTGCGTTCCTCAACTTGGCATTGGCGGGTTTACCGATATGGTAGCAATGGGGTTGTAACATTATAAAGTTGAAGTACCGCACACAGTCATTTCTACTTGACATTTGCAAAATAATCGTTTATTTCGATGGAGCCAATAGCATTTAAAAGAAGATGATTCAAAATTTATAAATATTTATGTTGAATATTGAAATAACTGTATAATGAATTCGATTGTATCTCTTTTAACTGTTTATTTATCTTCTGTAACAATTTATTTCTCTAAAACAAATTAACTAGTTATAAATTATCATTAAAAAAAATTATACATGCTCTTTTTCATCTGACTTCAAAAACGTTTCATATTCTTGTTCAGTCATTAGTTTGTCTAATTCTTCAAGATCTGACAATTTTAATTTGAACAACCACCCTTGATCGTAACAGGAAGTATTAATTAGTGCTGGTTTAGATTCCACATCCACATTTTTCGCAGTAACTGTACCACTTAGAGGGGAGTAGATCTCACTTGCGGCTTTGACACTTTCTAGGGCACCACATTCGTCGCCAGCTTTGAGTTTCGTTCCAGGATCTGGTAGCTGTGCGAAGACGACGTCACCAAGTGATTCTTGGGCGTATTTACTTATGCCAACAGTTCCTGTACCCTGATGCACAATGACCCATTCATGCCTGTCTGTGTACTTCCTTGGGCCATTGCTGTATTTGCGACGTGGTTCACAGTAGCACTGTTTGAGGTTTGATTGCAGACTGCGTTTCGTGTATTGCTTTGAAATGTGAAAGAAATATCGTTGGAGCGTCATTTTATCTGTAACAAAGGAGAATAAGACCATTTGGTGTGCTTCAGGAACAAATAGCATATAATTTACAAAGTCTATATTATATACATATAATATAAGCCTATATTATAAATTATACAACTTTACAAAATGTGGCCATTTTCATTATAGCATTGTCTAGTGTTTTAACGACTTGGCAATTAATAAAATTTAGTATAATATATTATGTTCATGGACAGTACTTAAGGCGAGGTATTTCAACGCGTCGAAAATTAATATGAATAAAATAAGAACAGGCGGAGAAAATTTGACACAGATCCGTCGTCGACAAACGCCCGATGGCGACAGACGGGGCAGCGGATGGCGCAATGCGTCGTTAAACCGCTGGGCAATTTTCAATCTTGAGATAATTGTGACTTTAACAACTACAGGGCTTCTGTTGAAAACCAAAATTTTGCAGGGTCTCTGTAGCACTTTAAAAGAAATGTCTATATAAAGAAATTATGTACAAAGTTAGATATTTTATTGGTTTATAATTAATTTTTGACTTTTATTATAACCTGTTTTAAGGATTTTTATATGATCGGGTGAAGTGCACAATATTTTAAAACCCAGAAGAAATGTGTCAGGGCCATGTTTGGTGCGGGTCATCGAGAGACTTGTGTACCTTACTTTAGGAAACTGAAGATATTAACTATACACCATCGATGCATATTTACGAGGCCTGTGTTTATGTGAAACAAAATCTAAGCAACTTTAGTACAGTCAAAACTAGATATCCTAGAAGCACAAGGAATAAAATAGAAATACGGTGCAAACAACGCCGTAATTTGTAATTTTACAGTAGAACGATGTTCGTATTAGCACCTAAATTATTTAACAATTTGCCGGACGCTGTTAAAGAATTAAATGGTAGACAATTTAAAATGAAAATGCATAATTTGTTAGTTACTCAATGCTAATACAATATTGATGATTTTTTACTTGACAACATAAAATGTAAAATTATTAACAACTATTGTATGTTATATTTTTAATTTCTTATTTTCTGGTTAAATTCCAATTGTTGAAGTAAGTTTATGCTATTGTATTAACTTTAATGCATGCTGCATAAGCGAGTGAAATAAGCATTGTATAAAATATTCGCATGCCAAATGTACGATTTAATGTAATAATATATTATAAAACCTGCAGGCTGATTTTAATTCAAATTGTAATAGATCCGATCGGGTAGCCCATCCGAGTCTCGAAATCAGATGGGTTTCCGAGCGAGAAGATGAACCTGATTCCTACTATATCTTTCTAATTTGTGAGTTAAATCAACTATGGTTCCGATTTGAAATGTCAAAAGTTTCCGGTCGGCCAGTTGTGAATCGCAATTATGCGCCTCGACTCGGTAGAGACGCAGTTTCCGATCGGGAGAGGCAATCTTAATGAAGCTGCTGCATTGTTAACTACATTTTTCAGCGATTAAATATCTTGTACCGTGTAACAAATTAGTACATTCCTTGGACAATATCCTTAGGTGTATCGTATATTCTTGGCAAGACCGTTATTTAATAGTAAATACCTTAGAATAATAACCCATAGAACGATAGTTTCATATCAAACGAACTGTCACAAGTGAGGCAAAAATCAAATTCATGTAGGCTAGTTTTAGTAGTAGGTTAATTTTCGGTTTTAGTGAATATTTTATATAAAAATACAAGTTGAAACGCGTTACTTCCTTGTGGAATGTGATGTTAGTATCTATTTTATGTTTGTCTGACGTATTTTTACACTCACTTACCGCACATTTCGTCATTTTTAGCTAAAATTGTTGAGCTGTTCGCGGTGCAAGTTGATCTTGAGCACTGAAGGCCCGCCCGCTCGTGTAGGCCCATTGGGCGCGCTTCAATTTGCCTCACTTAGCGTGTACGGACTAGGTTTCTATGCGTTATTATTCTAAGGTAAATACCTAAACCATTTCATCTAGAAAATACAGTTTTTTGTGCTTCTTCTATAGTGAGTCGCCTAAAATAGTTCATAAAAACGTGACTTTTCTTTGTGTCGTATTGCTTAAATATTGATTCAATGTCGATGTGAATCATTGAATTTTGTTAGTACGTTGTTGATACCTCTCAATGGCGAAGCATTAGGCGCCAACTACACAAAAACCTCTTGGGAATCGCACTGTAAAGCAGGCCACACCACAAACGAATCTAGCTAACATAGTTTAGCTCACGCAGTTGCATGCAAGCTAATCTAAAAAAAATAGGTAGTAAGTAGTGACTATGAACACGTGCGGGGGAAAGGGCGACATATTTTTATAGCTAGCGGGTTAGGTTAGTTTAGTTAGTTCGCGATGTGAACCGAAGTATGAAAAGATGACCCGGCTTCGTTTGCGAGTTACGCGTCGAGTTCCATATAGCGAAACGGGGTGGGTACGCCGTCTCGCTGAGTACTCCGTGTACTATAATATTCTAATATTTAATTTTACAGTAAACGCCGTTGCTGTCCATGAACTGGATATTTAGTTTAAGATAGTTTATGACAAAAATAAAAAAGAATAAATAAAAATAAAAACTACACTAAAATATATAGGAGAAAAATTGGAAAACATATCACTCCAGTGGAGTAGGCGAAGTCAACGGACCTACATGTGTAACCTATAGATAATTATTTAAATGACAAAATTCAATTTACATTGTGACATAAAAGTTGAGTAAGGTATAATCAGGTATGAAGTGGATAGTTTAAAAATGAGAAGTTAAATTAGCTAAATACGCTTTTATGTGAGTTTCTTTCAATATTAGTATTTTGATTATCATCGGCTTTTGAAAACTTCGCAACTTCATTTTTGAACGAGATCCCATTTCTTATTCTTCAAACGCAGATACTCATAGCCTTACACTAGGGTAGGAGGCAGTTAAGATCGGGCAATTTTAAAATATAATTTCTAGACCCTGATTTAGTTATAAAATAAAGGCATGATCATAGATTGTCGTACAACTATTTCTAGTAATTCTCTTTTTTTGGGGCCTACTCAAAAGTTCACAATAATGCAGGTACGAGGTTTACGAATGTAGCTTCATTTATTTTTTTAAGATTATTTTTTTATTGAAACTTTATTCTATAAATACTTACTGATGAAGTAGAATGACACAGAATCCCTTGTGCACCAAATATAAATTTAACACTAACACTACATTGTAAGTGACAGTTTGTGAATAAATGAACAAACACAACTGATTATACACGCAGACATTAAGATAACTGTGACCTGTATGAACCGTAGCAATTATTGACTGAAGCATAATGGTCTATGGCTATTAGATTAACTGAATGAAAATAATAAACAGTATTTGTTAATTATCGTTAAATAGCTATTTGCTTAGCTTCCTCAAAGAAAAGAAAAAAATAAGTGTGCAAAGTGTTATTTTGAGAAAGTATGTTTACGCTAGAAATGTAAAACGTCTAACATGCATTTGGAAAATATACTCCCGGACACATAATTAATTCGAGCCATCTCGCATTTTTGTCGTAAAAGTCTAGAATACAAAGATAGTTTTTTTTAATAACGCACACACTCAACATAGCCCCGCACTAGGGAAACCCTGTGTCGCGGGTGCCATGGACACACACATAGACAACCACAAATTACACCCAAACTCACGAGAGAAATAATTGTAGGCCATATAAATATTTCTCCCGGCCCGGGAATCGAACCTGGGACCTCTGCGTGGCAGTCCGGTATGGTAACCGTTCGGCCACGGAGGCAGTTTTATATAGATAGTGTTATCATAGAAGAAAAAGTTTTCCCCAGTTTTGCAAATCCAAATTCCCAACAAGGACTTATGGAAAACACATTTAGGGTCGTATTCCAGAACTCTACTCAATGCTCAAATCGGGACTTGAGCAGACTTGAATATGATTTCAAGCACTGGAAATACGACCCTAATGGCAAGGACTTGAGTATGATTTTCAGTGCTCACTGCAATACTCAAGTCCTGACTTGAGTATTGAGTAGAGTTCTAGAATACGATCCTTAGTATACTAGTTTCAAAATTGCATCATAGTTTTTGATCAATCAAACATTGTTTAAGCTTGGGGCACTTAATATTGAAAATGCGTGGTGGCTCGAATTATGTGTCCGGAAGTGTATTACTGAGGAATGATTAAAAGTAATTAAAAAACGAAAATCATCTCTTAATTTTATATCTCATATACGGCTATGGAATTCTCTTCCTGAATCAATTCGACGATCCCCTTCTCTTGATTCCTTCAAACGACGAAGACGACGATGAGGAATATTTCCTTAATTACTAATTCTTTTTTCGCTCCATTCCCTTAATTTTATTTCCTTTTGCTTAGTGGTATAACCTTCGTTTATAAATTTATTTATTCTTATTACTATTTATTATTTATTTTATCGGGAGTCGGCGAATACGACGGCTATATGATTACCATTGGGAATATTAAATACAATTATAATAATTATATGCATTATATTCAATGATTTGAGTATGATAATAATATGAGTTGGCATGGCGCAGGTAACCAAGAAACAAATTATAAGGAGGAGTCATAATGTTTGCAAATGACAAAATATATTTAATAGTTTAAATCTTTATCTTCGTTTGTAAAAGTGTGAGTTTATAGATTGTTTTAATGCTGTCATTGACTGTTTTCCTAGCCACCTTTAGTAATCGATGTTATTTCTTTCATGGCAATGGAGTACAAAAACGTGCAACTGATTTGAAATAAGGATCCTATTATATTTATTATACAGATACATAATTCAATATAATATATTATATGGAACTTGCAGGTAAAACCATAAAATAAATAAACTAAAAAAATGAATTCGAATTAAGAACCATAACAAAACAAGTACAAATCGATCCACAACAGAAAAATATTAGTTTTATTTGCTAGAACAATTATTTACTCAGAATTGACTATGCAAATTACAAAGGTTTAATATGTATTCCAACCAGTCCAGTGCTCAATACGTAGGAGAGTGGGGAATCCATGGGGGAACCACAAAAATCTGCAATTAATGCTGAAAATATAATTCTACTCACGTTTTAACACTTCATGCCAAAAGTTACGAACGGGAAACAGTTAATTTTCAGACACTTAAGGTACAATTCGAAAATATCCGGCCATAAATATACGCGAAAATTCTCAGCCGATAATTTTTTCGAGGTTAGTTTCGTTCTGAAATTAAAAGACAAATAAAAATTACATTTCCTTAGCAATTCTCAGAAAAATCTGAATAATTTATTTCTAAACGAATATTTCCAACTGGCCAGATAATAAACAACACCCGAAAACTGAGGAAATTAACATATTATGGGGTTTTTGCTGCCTGGTACTGGGTCAAGAACACATCAAGCTTACTTAAGCTTACTATTTGGAAACTATAGTCTAGAATGAACGCCACTATCATAGAAGTTATGAAACACTCCATAGAGAATTAAAGTATTTTTAATTAGTTAACTTATAACGTTTATATTTCATTTGCATTGATGCCAATCAGCAATGTAAATGGCGGTCTCCAAAGAAGCACATTCTAAAAAAAATTAAGCACATTTATTTAAAATTGTTATTTAAATTTTTATTACTCTTTTTAAAAAGTTTTTTAACTCCCTAAAAGTATTGAGCTAAACTTCTATATTTTATAAACAAAAATTGTTTTCATTCTCCCACTTTGCATAATCTGTTTGGGTAGATTACAGACGCAAAACGAATTTGTGACAGTAATATTTCCTTATTGCGATTGTACTGACTTGACATTGTCAAATTTTTTCAAGAGAAGCCAGAAACTTAAAAATAGAATAGAAAATTGGTCATCTTTTGTGAAGACGGAGTAAAATGACAGTTCATTGCGCAAAAGTGTCGCCCGCTTGCAAGCAGCTAGTGATTGCCGATATTGCCATTCAATCGATAGTCGATATATGTTATATCGACTATCAACTGAATGTTGGTTAGGTTTGTGAAATAAATAGCCGAACTTGTTTGTTTGAATCGTCACGAGCTCATTATTCGTCCAACCGCTGAGCGCAGGTTCATTTCAATTGTCAATTTTTGAAAAATCATACATACATACTTTAAATTCAGAACGATGTCTACTTAAAATACAAATAGGAGACTAATTTTACATTTTTTCATTTTAATTTAATGTACATAAATTGATTCCGCCTATCGTTACTATGATGTGTCCGAATAAAAATTGATTTCGATACTAATGAGCCATCTGTAAAAATAAGAGTAAAAATACAATAACGCAATTAGTAATCTTTAGAACGTCGTAACTTTTTACAATTCTTTTACAATTATCCATTTTCACAATCTATCAATAAAACTGTGGACAACAACTACATGCCTATTTAAAGTTTTACGAAAACTGACAACCCCACAAAAGTCATTTTATTCCGTCGTTAAAAAAGACAGACATTATGGCTTCGGTGACCACTTTACATCAGGTAGATTATTTGTTGGTTTTAATGCAATAACAAAAAATACAATGTGTTGATTTGTAATAACATCACCAGTACATCTCTTTGCGAATGCTATCCAATTACAATTGTACACAGCTTATCCAAAGAAAACAAATACTCACAGCTGATTAAAATAATATGAAAAATAATATGATATAAGGGAATTAACAAATGAATTATGATTTAATAACATTATGAAATAATCAAAATAATATGAAAAAATACCGAAAATGTAAAAAATTAAATAAATTTAAAATCATTCATTAAAAAAATTAATATAAAACAACAAAACAAAATATCGTCTCTGCTTTCGAAGTTGTGAAGCCAAATAATAATATGTAATAATAATATATTCTTAGATGATTTAGCATTATTTCTATTACTAATTTCTTAAATATGGCGAGAGACTAAGGGTCGTATTTCAGAACTCTACTCAATGCTCAAGTCAAGTCTTGAGTATGATTTATAGTGCTTTAAATCATACTCAAATCCTGACTTGAGCATTGAGTAGAGTTCTGGAATACAACCCTAAGTCACGTTCTGACAAAGCTACCACCACTAATTTGATGCAGTCTAGAATATGGAAATTATTAAAAAACTACAAGCTTTGTTATATTCTATAATAAAGTACAGATTTTAAGCATTTAATTTTATGTATTTACTAGTCTATTTTATTTATAGAAAACATTAAATTATTACGTATTAAGACTAAGTTATAAGTAACAAGTGGGCGATGGCGATAGCGCAGGCCGCAGCGGGCGGCGTTGTATGGCTGTATTTCACAGATTTTAAGTATTTAATTTTATGTATTTATTAATCTGTTTTATTTATAGAAAACATTAATATTATTAAGTATTAAGTTATAAGTGACAAGTGGGCAATGGCAATGGCGCGGGCGGCGCGGCGGCAGTGTATGACGGTCGAGAGTTGTAAGGTAAATTGAGAACCAAAAGTGGGTCACATTGTAAATGTCAAACCGTACAAAACGTCATTGTTCGCTTAGCCATGACTGAAAGATGTCAAAGGAGGTTTACAGAGAAATTTGATCATCAAATTAATATTGTTTACGTAGGAGCTATCATAGGATCGCTAGCAGTATTATATTTCTACAGGTGGCGTAAATACGAAGCGTGTAAGAGTAGCTTTTCTTTGTGTGATATGTGTGCTAACCCAGTTTTGGTCTGTGCAGATTTCACTTCGCAACGATTGCGTTTAGCTATGTTCTGGGATGTGTGGCTTGTTACTACGGGCTAAAATCGCATATTCTGCATAAATATGTGGAACAACTGAAGTGCCATTTCGTTAAGAATCCTAGAATAATCGAACTTCAAGACGACCCTGTCAAAGTAAGTTCATTGTATTGTTTTCAATTGATAAACAACTTTGTTGTTTATTTTCTCGGTCGTTAACGCCTCTTTATATTACTTACAGCCTCATTATTCTGTCGCACGTCTTGCACATTTAATTTATGAGCATTTAATTAAAATTTTTATGACTAAGTAATTTTAAATATTTTTTGTATCGTCACGTCAAATCTTATCAAATGATTAAATTCGACCTAAGTTTTCGGTTGCAATCTATCTTACCACCGCACTACAAGTTTTTCAACCCTGACGTTGGCGAAATCGTCGCGCAAAAAGACGGAGCCATAGATACAAAAGTTGAAGTTGAATATTCATAAAACAGTGAAATAATTTTATATTAATTGATTTGTCATTTTATTTGGCAATAAAATGTTATACTATATTACAAAGTCAGTTTTTTCTTTGAAGATGGAGTAAAATGAAATTTGCAGTGTTGCCAGTTTTTGTAAAATTTGAAATAGTCGTGCAAGAGATACAGTTTTGCGAGAATTGTAAGAGTAGTGAATGTTTTGATCTTATGATGATTTAGAGTTGTGTAATGCCTTCTTTATTCTTATTGTGATGTTGGCCCAATATATTATTATTATAATTATTTTAAACTCTCGCCTCTCCCAAGGCCTAAAAGATTAATTTTGTATTTTTAAATGGGAGATGCGGTATTTCCCGGCAATGGCACAGTTGGCCGGGGTCAGGGACTCATTATTATTATTATTAGGGTGGCTTCATTTGGGGCCTATGAGGCCCCTTGTCACTGCGACCATAAATGATCTATTGTAATCACCACTAATCACAGCTCGTAGCCAAGACCAACAGCATTATGGAACTGAAGGACTTTCCTGGCTCCGACAGTCTTTATGTCCTCTGGGTGTGACCTGTGCCTGCTCAGTATGGAACTTCTCATGCCCACCAGAGGGCGCAGAGGGGCGAGAGTATGGGTGAGGAGATGCACAGGAGTTTCATCCGCCTCGTGGCAGAATCTTCATTCTCTGTTTTCTCTCAGTCCAATGTCCTGTAAAGGCTCTAGTCAACATTCTGATGCCATTCCTGTCCAGTGACACGGCTTCTCTACAGTGCTTGGCACTGAAGGCAGCTATCAGGGTTTTAGAATGCTCAAGGGTGATTAGGGTCGTATTCTAGAAGTACTCAATGCTCGAGTCAGGATTTGAGTATGGTTTAAAGCACTCGAAATCATACTCAAGTCCCTGCCATTAGGTTCGTATTTCCAGTGCTTAAAATCACACTCAGATCCGGACTTGAGCATTCACTAGAGTTCTGAAATACGACCCTTAGTCTGCAGCCACAAGTTTCGGGAGATGTGGGAGCTCTCGTTCAGCAAAGTGAGCTTTGCCAGGCTGTGTGCTATTTCTATAAAGGGCCAATGCAGGCCTCCCTAGCACCAACCTTTGCCAGTTCATCCGCTGCTTCTTTACCCTCAATGTCAGAGTGACCAGGAACCCAACGCAGGACTACATTATTCCTTTCCCCGAGAGTATTCAGTATAGTTATGCAGTTCTCTACAGTCCTCGAAGTTTGGGTGACTGAGGTTAGTGCAAGCAGAGCGGCTTTACTATCTGAGTTTATATAAATATAATTGTTAATGTAGCCTCTCTTCAGGTTTAGATCCGCACAAGCATTAATGGTATATATTTCGGCCTGAAAGATAGAGGAGTGACATCCCATGTTCAGCTTGTAGCTGAGTCTGGGTCTCACGCCGTGTATACCACAGCCTATGTTGGGTCCGATCTTGGACCCATTGGTATACCAAAGAAGGCTACCGTCCTTCCAAGTGAGACTGTTTCCCACTGTAGTTTCCCAGTTTTTCCTGGTTGGAAATTCCACCTGGTGGAGTTTCTTGAAGTTTTGCTTGGGAAGCATGACATCAGAATTCATTCCCAGAACAGGATGTTCCAGGGTTGAGTCCTGGGCCGATCTCAATGTCTGGGAGAGCCATCTAGTCCTTAACCTGGTGAAGAGTTGCTGGTGTGAGCTGGAGAAGCAGTGTGCTGAGCGTTGGCATAACATAACATCTCACCAGAAGTTCTGGTTTGTGTTTCTGAGTGTATTCCGCCAGTCGTGTCAGATCTTCCGTGGGGCTATTCTTTTCTCCAGGTAGATAGGCTGAGCATAAGATTATCTTGGCCCGAGGGCTATACCGGGTAAATAAATATGCTGCTACAAAGTCGTCAGTACAGAACTGTGGAATAGGCAAAAGATTAATGTTTTTGTTATAAACAATGCAGGCTCTGCAAACTTACCAGCGGCATTGAGTCCCATTATGTTTGTGTGGTTACCCCGGGGTTCCTGAATGAGGGCGACATCCACATTGCCTTTCGCGAAGCAACACTCCATCACAGCCACGGCATGGTGAAGGTTTGCTTGGAGAACCCTCACCCTTTCCCCCGAGGGCGCCATCTAGCGGGGATTAAAACCCCGGCCGCGTTGCTGCCCCCGACTGCTACGAGGAAGACGAGGCCGTCCTCGTGGGGCTCGCGGGTTGGCAGCCCCGCACCCTTGCACTCGTCCACGTGCCGTACTTCTGCCACGTGGGTTCGGTGCTGAAACCCACCGTCGTGTTTACCCAGACCGTCATTTAGTGCCATTACTGTGGCAGTTTTTAACCGAGCCGCTCCAGTACTGGCACTTGTTGTTGGCTTCGCTGTTTGGACTCCCGGGACAGCGGGTGCTGTCTGAGTCCGCGATTCTTCTGGGGCGATGCACCCAGAGTGGCGGACGGGGCAACCCTGTCACGTTTTCCCTGGTCCGTGGAAGACGGACCAGGCGCGGGCATCTGCGCTGAGGTTCCCGGCCCCGATTCCTCGAGCGGATTAGTAACCGATCCTGGTTTCGAGACCGAGGCAAAGTGCTTTCTGGACCCCATCTTAAACGTGACCTGTTTAAAACCAAGGTGTGCCCGGCAATTTGAGGCACGGAGAATCTCCACCGATGGGTCATCAAGAGCGAACGCGACAACCCATCCGTTCGCATCTTCCCTTGCGTGAAGAATCTTCCATACCTCAGTGCGGAGACCTCTATTTTGGCCCCCCAGCAGGCTGATGGCCATCTGCACTGACTCACATCCCTTCTTGGGAATGTAAGTAGTGGCGGTGGTGGGCTTCGGAATCTAGCTTTCCTTAATCAAGGACAGCTGGGTTTCCGGCCACGGCTTCAAATTTCTGATCTTTCCCCCAAGCCAGTCTGCACTTGCTTGGTCCTTGCTGGTCACAAGAATCCAGACTGGCTTTTGAGAGAGGCCCAGGAACTTTGGTCCCTCGCCATGCGCTGTTGTGCTCGCTATGGTGCGGACCACAAATACCTCCACCAGCTACATTTGCTCCTCTGACATGGGTTCCGAATTCCGGATACCCACGCGCAGGGAGCACGCCATTTCGCTGAAAGTTGGTCTGTTCCTGCTTTCAGCTGACGCCACGGTCCTGGGAGCCTTCCTTACGTGTTCCTGTGGCGACACCTCCTCTGACCGTCCACGCTTTTGCGCTTTCGTTGTTGGAGATGGTTTAGGCACCGGAAGTTCACCCCAGGGCTTTTCAGATAGAGGCAGAGCTTCTGCGTAGCTCATACCTGTTCTCATCAGGCCCTGTAGTCTCTTCCGGCGAGACCTGCTCAGTCGAATCTGCTGGTCCTTCGGATCCCCTGATCCGAAGGACCAGCCTGTCACGAAGCCTGTGCCTGAAGTCATGTCTTTATTGCTAGGTGGACTATCCATCCCGGCAATCGTTTCCTCCAAGGAGGAAATTAAGGTATTAACGCTTATTTCATTTTCTTTCTCCATACATGTCTCATGAGTAGCTAGGGAATTAAGGGGACACAACCGGCAGAGCCCCGCTTGCTGGCTGAAGGACATAAGGTTCCCTCGCGATGCCCTGGTATCGAGAGTGCACCGTTAGCGGCTGGGCTGTCCCCCAGACACGCATCCATAGGCACGGTACGCCTAACACCATTGGATTGGGTGACGACATTTTAGCCAACGCCTAGCAAATGCCCGGACAAAGTCCAAGCATTTACTAGGAGTTGCCCAGGATGCACCGGCTCATGTCTTCCCTTCCTATACAATCCTGGGATTGCATAGGAATGGAAGCCACTCGCTTACGTTTCGGTACGTCGTCCTACCACCCCTAACCCAATATATATTATCATAGTCAATTCGTAAAACACCAACGCAAATTTTTATTCAAATCATTACCCTATTGTAGGCTATACAATTAAAAATATAATATCCACGTAAAAACAACAGTAGGTGTAAGTTGTAACTACAACATCTACAATATATTAAAAATGTGTATATTCATTACCCCCATATGTGGTGATAATTTGAGCTCTAACTAACATCTGACTTTCTTGGGTTCTACTTTGGGGTAAGTAGGGCTTTCATGTAGTTTTGTAATATTATCAAATTGCTTTTTTTTTCATAAATTTATTTAGATAAAAGTGTGAACTTAGATGAGTTTACACCTATTAATAATAATAATTGATACATCTGCAAACAAAATAAGCTTGGCTATTTATTGGGTAAATATGACCAATATCAGTCAATAGATATTATTATCTATTGTCAGCAATCAATAGCTGCTTGTACGTCGGCAAGATTATTGTGCAATGGAATTTTATTATACTCTGTCTTGAAAAAATTAACAGAGCCATAGCCCCGCATTAGGGAAACCCTGTGTCGCGGGTGCCATGGACACACACATAAACAACCACAAATTACACCCAAACTCACGAGATAAATAAATGTAGGCCATACAAATATTTCTCTCGGCCCGGGAATCAAACCCGGTACCCCTGCGTGGCAGTAACCTTTCGGCCACAGAGGCAGTTAAATTCTGATGTTAGACTCTGCTAAACACACATTAAACTGAATTTAAAACTCTACTTGTAAACATAAAAAAATGTATTTCCCCGTTTTCTTATAATAAGAAGAGAAAAGGACATTTTATTTTAGTTTAGAGTAATCAAATTTTGGAAAATGCATGCTGTTTTCAATTATTAATTAGTCCATTTAAATTGAGTAATTTACCATCTCTGAGATAATAATGCGACAGAGACAGATTCGCTGAATTTAAATTAAATTTAGTTATATATACACAACAACAACACAACACAACATACGTAATCGTCTATAGGATATAACAGCATGAATTACTAATCGTGGAATCAACTTTATTTACTTATGCAAATAAAGATCACAAAAGTTTCAAGTATTATGTTAACTGAAACAGAAAATATGTACTGTAACAACTTCATTAAAAATCATACACAAACTTAAATATCGGCTAGTTTCACAGATTGGACTATGTCATGTTTTACAATGCGTTTTGCTCTAATATTATAACATTGTGGTACACTGCTCATAGTTATAATTTATCAGTACAGACTACTCAAACATTTACCTCAAAATCTCATTCATCCTCTTGTTTGCCTAAGTTTAAGAGATTAAAAGTAAGATATTTTCTTCAAATTTAAATGGGACCATTCCTGAGATACCTCTTTCCAACAAAATCATTAAAATCGGTTCACAAATTATCACGTAAAAAGATTTATCTCGTAACATACATACAAAAAAACATACAGTCCAATTGAGAACCTCCTCCTTTTTTAAAGTCGGCTTAAAACAAAAAACACCTACTATTAAAAAAAGTCATTATTTCGTCAATGATAATCATACAAATACTAAAATGAAAAATTTTCAGGTTTGTGAAACATGTGGGTCTACGAAATGTTCCCGGCATGATAGCTCAATTACTGCTGAGCCCTGGGTGGGGCTGCAGATACATAAACAGCTAGACCAGGCAATAGAAGACGTAAGTAATTTTGAAAACGCTATACAACAATTGGACGTAGTTAAACAAAAAGAATCGAATGCACAACCAGTCACTTTGAGATATGGCAGTTTTAAGTGTTTCTCACTCTTGTTTTATTTTCAAAACTATAATAATGTCATGTCACTCCAGAGATATTTATTTATATTTATATGTTGGATTTTTTTGCTGGTCTAAAAGGTAAGACTTTGGGAACTTGGTACTTTATAACTAATTATTTGATAATTTTGTGGATTTGATCCTACCTACGTCCAAGTTTAATAACATTTGAGTTGTACTGTTTTCCAACTCAGAATTTGGACCTAAGATATTGAACACATTTTATCACTAAATAAATAAGATAGCCGCGGAATATCGTGTTCAAAGCAAGCTAGTATATTCACCATTTCTGTCGAGCCCTTATCAAAAAATACATAAACAAACCAAAGTTAAGCTGTCGTTGTAATAAAGCCTTAAATAATGTTTTGCCGAACTAACCTATTACTGGCGTAATTACTATTCCTTATTGTATGGTTTCTTTCTCAATTAACGTTAGACTACGCCTAAAATATTTGCTTACTTGACCAGATCTGTGGCTCAGTTGGTAAGAGCAATGCTACGGTGCAGCATGGTCACGGGTTCTAGTCCCACAGGGTCGAAGAAATTTTTCTGTGTTCGATCTTTGTATTAATAACCATAACAAAACTAGAGGAATTATGTCACAAACAAATCTAAATAATACATTTCAAGAGATAATTTACTAAAACAGGGTTTGTCAATATTGATCAGTGTTGGGCAAAATTTAATTGTTCTGGCAATTAAAGATTACAATTAACAATTGTGTGGGTGCGCATGTGGGTGGGTTGGGTGAGTGTGTGGGTGGGTTGGGTGAGGGTGTGGGTCACTCATCCCTGACCGCCCCCAACCGACCCCCCAACCCATATTCGTAATGACACTTTTATTCGGTACTTTCGATTTTAATTGTTAGTTTCAATTGTCTCTTAGAACAACTAAAAAAATTAATTGCAATTAATTTAATTGCAATTAAAATCAATTGATTTCAATTGAATTGATTTTTTTAATCTGATTGAATTTCTGATTGAAATTTAATTGATTAACGCCCAACACTGATATTGATAGGGCGTGTAAATAGCCAGGAAAACTATGCGAATGATGATGTATACTTAATGAATCCTTAGGTTTTTGCGACTGGTAAATATTAGAAATGCAAACTATTTTTATTTCGGATCTAAATAGAGTCTATTTGTTTTTTCACATAAACCGATATTTAATAAATAACTAAACACTGATAATATGTATTTATTCGGGTTCCTCGTAGTTGTTTTTTCACATAAACCGATATTTAATAAATAACTAAACACTGATAATATGTATTTATTCGGGTTCCTCGTAGTTCTACAACGCAATCCTGGACCAGTTCATAAATACGTGGTACAACAGGGTGACATTGCAGCCCTTCTTTGTAGACGAGTTAAGACATCAGCTCAGATACGCCTCTGCCTGCCTGTTAAGAAGAGCTATTAAGGTATTTAAGTTTCAATTATTTATAATGGTAATTAGTCGAATCCGATTCGGTTGGGCACCTTTCGAAGCTCCGAGACGTCTTCGCGCCCGCAATACCGTTGTCCTTGAAGACGTTTTTAGTGGCAATTTCACCAGCACACTTGGGCGCATTTTAGTCATGGCAAAATACGCTCTATTTGTTTAGCTTTTACGTTTTAACTTAAATGAGCGTCCCGGGCGCGCGAACGAGACTGGCTTGACTTTGGTCTACGCAGAGGCCGCGCGGTTGTATTGTTCAGAGGAATTTAAATGTTCTTGCCTAGTAAATAAAATTCAGATTCGCAATTAATGTACATGAGGGCGTGTTAACTGGGCGGTCGCTGCGCGAAAACTTTCGCCTCGTGTAAATGGGCGCTTACTTAATTGTAGTTTTTGTGAAATATTCATTTTGGGTATGAGCGTTTGGTGATCTGTGTTTACTGGAGGTCCCGGGTTCGATTCCAGACAGGACCGATGTGGGAAACTAAGTTCCTGTATTGGTTCTGGGTAGTGCCCTAGAATAAATTCCGTTGCTCTGGTACCCATTTTACGAGGAATTTCCTATCTAGAGGTAATTGGAGTATTTGTTTTTCACTTAATAAATAATTATCGGTTCTGATATCAGAAGATGCAATACTTTACAGATAAACTACTCCCGCTTCATAACAGAGCGCCTAGTTCCGTGTGCATTACGGCACTACACACTATGCGCATGCGGCGATGGCCCGCCGGAAGGCAAACTGAGTATACACCCGGCGGCGGCAAGCAGACGCGCTGAATTAAGATACTTGAGAGCTATCACTAATGCCATTATGCCATATTTGCTGAAGAACAATGAGTTGCAGAACTCGTGAGTGCATTATACACTTTATAATTTCAGTACAGAGTACTAAAAAACCGACCTCAAAAGTTTGTGGAATTACATCTATTTACCAAGTTTTACTGAAATCGGTTACCGGAAAATGCACGAAACCAGATTCACCCCCTGGTTTGCCACCCTTAGAGGTGACATTTTTAAAAATCAAAGGGCCAATACTGTGGTACCCTCTTTCCGACAAAAAATGAATCATCAAAATGGGTTCACAAATTATCGCGTCACATACATACAAAAAAAAAAACAATCGAATTGAGAACCTCCTTCTTCATTTTGAAGTCGGTTAAAAATTGATATATGTCTTCATTTAAAAATATACTTAATTATCTATGTATATACATCATTATATTCAATATAAATGAATATTGCAAAAACGTTCACATTCTATTCCCCAAATCACATCGTTTATTTCTCTTGTAGCGTATTTCGCGTCCTAATACGCGAAATATTCGCCGGCTGGGTGCTCCTGTCCCTGACAGACGTGCTGGCCGACCCGCATATCCTGAACACACTCATCGTCCTCGCAACAGGAAACGAGACGATGGCGCAACTCCCCACTTCGCCTAACTACAAGGTAAGTTTATTCCATGGGTTGGCGGTAGAAATAGGTAAGGTTGGCAATACTTCCTTAGACGAACTCTTTCACAAGGAGCTCTACTTCTACTAGCCTGGGTTTCTCAGCTTTATGTCGTAGGGCAAAGGACACAATGACAGTGACCTTCAGATTTTTAAGGCACAAGTTAATGTAAACATTAACAATGTAAACACTAACAATGTACACATTACTGCGTGCCGGTTTTGTAAGGGTGCTGGTGAAATTACAGACATGGGATTTGTCGTGTGACGGGCGCAATGGCAGTGCCCCTAAGATTTTTACGATTAAAAGCTCTAAGTGTCACTGCGAGTGTTATGGATAGGCGTGTCACTTACCAGCAGGCGCACGACTGGTTCGTCCAGTTGGTATTATAAAAACAAAACAACAATTGCTCAATTCGTAGATAAGTGTGTTTAGATTTTTCTGATATAAACAATAGTTAGATTATACATTTGATATAAAAATGTTTCATTTATGTTATAAATACATATCACATGTTTTATACAGAAACTTTCATTGTTTTTTAATCAGCTGTTATAAATGCCATAATTTTCTCTTTTAACTTAGTAGAAAAATTATATAAAAATATTATAACTGTATTCTAAATTTTTGTTGAATTGATGTTCAATTGTGACATCTCTCGCCAGGACTGGTAGCTGTAAAGGTATCTAACTGGGTGATAAGGCTTTCATAGATTTCTCATAGATGGCGCTACGACTAAAAAGTCGTTGAAAAACCAAATACAAAGACACGACAACAAGCACGTAGAAAAATTCGTGAGGTCCGCTGGTTCGTTCAGTGGGTTAGTTGGAATAGCGTCTGGTACGGTACGCTAGAAGACGTTGGTTCGAATCCGGCCGGATCGAAGGAATTTTGTTCAATCTTTGTATTAATAATACTGTTATAACTGTTTATAAAGGGGTTAATTATATTAAATGTGACTTTTGAAATGAGAAGTAAAGGTCACAATTATATTCATTGTGCTATTATATTGTAAGTGAACTACATAATAAGGGAACAGTTCCGTACATTACTAAGTTAAAGTTTTTGATTTTAGTGTTTTTAGGATAATAAACGTCAAATATGACTTTTTATTATAAAATCTGATTAAAGATGTCAGTTGTGCCCTTTGAGTTTGTAGTATATACAACAATTATTGAGATTTATTTGTACAAAAAATATAGGTAGATTGATTTTTTTTTCCTGTACATTACTAAGTAAAATTCTTTGATATTTGTGTTTTTAGGATAATAAACGTTATATGACTTGTTATTATAAAATCTAATTATAGATGTCAGTTGTGCCCTTTGAGTTTGCAGTATATTCAACAATTATTGAGATATATTTCTACAAAAAACATAAATAGATTGATCTTTTTTCCTGTACATTACTTAATTTTTTTTATATTAGTATTTTTAACGTAATAAACGTACGATAGGCTACCAAGGTTTTTAACGAAAAAGGTTACCAGGAGATAATAATAACGACGAAAACTGTATTTAATGATATGTTATTCATAATTTTTTTTCTTAGAACATTTGTAATATTTTATTGAGAAGATAGAAATATGGGCATACTTATCACATATTAAAGTTACGATGTATTATGAAACTCGTTAGTAGTAATAATGCGCTCGTAATATAAAAATTAATGCATTTGCCTATCAAATATTTGGCACAAGTAAATATAAGTTATCTTACAAACATACTCTAGTCAGCTGTGATAATACGTCTTTTATATTATAACAAAACATAGCGTAGGTAATAACATGTCACTGTCAAAAGGCTGTTTATAATTTATGCAAATATTTATTCCGTTCACGACAAGGACTACTCTATGTCGCAACTATAAAAATCTTTTGAGCCTTAAGCTATGCCAATAGGTCGTGCGATGCATTGTTTTTAGAGTTGCAACGAATATTATTACTATTCGGTCATACGCTAGAATACCGAATACCTAAAAACAGAAAATGAAATAAAAAACATAGTCAATTATCATGTAATTTTTATTAACGCCAAACATTGCAAATTGGCGTAAGAGCAATTTTTCACCTCTTTATTTAAAAGAGCAATGGAAATGAAACATTACTAACGTAGGTTAATTCGTAATACTCGTATCTCTCTTAGGGTCGTATTCCAGAACTCTACTCAATGCTCAAGTCAGGACTTGAGTATTATTTAAAGCACTAGAAATCGTACTCAAGTCCTTGCTATTAGGGTCGTATTTCCAGTGCTTGAAAGCATACTCAAGTCCTGACTAGAGTTGCGTTGAGTACAGTTCTGGAATGCGAACTTAATGTGCACTTTTGAGTAGGCACAAAAGAATAGAATTTTTAGAAATTGTGTTATAAGACAATCTATGATTGATTATACATTTATTTTAGTTATAAAATCATTATTCCGTTGATCTAGAAACTATATTTTAAGCTTTAATTGCCCGAGATTGTACCTGAGGAGTAAAAAGAGGGATCAGTGTCCACAAAAAGGGGATTTCGCTATATTCAAATTTAGCCGACGCTAAGTTATTTAACTGCCTCGGTGGCTGAACGATTACCATGTCGGACTGCCACTCAGAGACCCCGGGTTCGATTCCTGGGCCGGGAGAAAAAATTGTACTACATTTATTTCTCTCGTGAGTTTGAGTGTAATTAGTAGTTGTCTTTGTGTGTGCCCATGGCACCGGCGATATAGGGTTTCCCTAGTGCGGGGCTATGTGCAACGTGTCCGTGTGCGTTATTATCTAAAAACAGAAAAAAATAAAATAAAACACAGTAAATTATCATGTAATTTTTATTAACACATATTTATTTAAAAGATTAATGGAAATTAAACATCACTAATCCCTTCCCAACCGTTCCTATTAATAAGCAAATAAAAGTATTTCCTCTGATGAATAATAGACATAATACTGTACTAATCAATATGTTTTAATTTATTCTAATTTCAATTATTATTTAATAATAAATTTAACTTAATAAAAATGAATATTGTTAAAATAAAATAATTAGTAAAACATAATGTAGCGAGGAATGTTCTTTATAAAATTAAAAATAAGGTAATTTTGTAACTATGGTGAAAAAATAAGGTGGTTTGCATTAATATTCGTCAATCGTGATCGTGCGACCTGAAACGGGCTTTCGTCGGTTTGTTTGAAAAAACAAATATACGCGATTTAAATCCGGAAAAATAATAAAATTATTTATTTATTTACATTGTCTGTTTCCCAAAAAACTAGTTTTTCGTATTACATCACTTTATGACTGATGGTGTGAAATATTTCTTTCTTCAGGTAGAGTTCCTAGAAACGTTTGTCCGTCATACGGACTCCGTGTACGCCCAACGCGCGAAGCTCCTCCACATAGACCTGGACTTGGTGATCAACGACCAGGAATACTTCTACGCCTTCATGCAGTTCATAAAGACCACCAGCCATATACATTTGCTGCAATTTTATAAAGACATCAGTGAGTATTTTTGACTATTCAATGAGTATTGAGAGAGAAACACACAGAGTTTATAATAGTTACCTATCTATAGTCCAAAATGACATTTTCCAGAATAACGTTTGGTCGAAATTTCATAACCTCGAAAGTAATTTTGAGAGGTAAATGTTTTTTCTTTTAAACCTAACTTATCCAGACCTAACCGAACCTAATCGTGTCTTTGCGATAAGCATTCAACATATCTTGAAAGAACAACTGTTTCGTTATAATTCGGTTAGGTTATAATAGATTTTGTGACAGGTTACCGTTAATAATACCTCCCTCTGAAAACCAGAAATTGTTGTATTGTATTTTGTTCTATATTTTTGACTAGGAATTATTTCATTATTATTTAGAAGAAAAGAATATTGTAAAATATAACAATATAGCTATTTATGGCGACTTCGATGGCCCTGCAGATTTCTCTGTGGCCGCTGAATAATGACGTCCCGGTTTGATTCCCGGTAGGACCATTTTAGAACTACTTTTCATTGTTGAACTATCTAGAATTGGTTCTGGTATTCATAGTATAGGGAATTTTCTATTTTATTTATTTATTCAAACTATTTTTGGTACACTACAATATAATACAATTGGCAGACTTATGCCATAAGGCATTCCTACCAGTCAAACCTAATGGTTTTTTTGTTTACCTATTAGGCTACAAAAAACAATAGGTTGGTCCTGCACTTAAAACAAGAATAAGCCAAAGTTGTATACTTAATTTATATGCTATAAAATAAATAATATAACCTAAACATACTTAATATAAATATACAATGTATTGACTCAAAAGGAGGACTTTCTCAGAATCGATGAATAATGAATTACTCACTTATTATAGACACTTAAACAATTTATCAAATATATTTAACAATAAAATGGAAAAAATAATTTCATGTTTTGAATAAGGATTATTTTGGCCAGAACTAGCTCACATAAAGTGTGTCTCATTGTGGAGAATCAAAGTTTACGTTCAGTAATGATATAATATTAAATTTCAAAAAATAGGCAAAATAGGCGCCTTGACGTCGAGTTGCGGATACCTGCCCGTTTCACCAAGTACCAAGTACCAATATTAAATTTCACATATTTTGAGTTACAATGTGTAGTTTTCAGCACTTATATATTATTATTATGTTGTATATTTATTTTAGACTCGAGACGCCTGTCTCATGTCCTAAAAGATTAATTTAGAATTTTTAAATGGGAGAGGTGGTATTACCCAACAGTGGCACAGTGACCGAGATCAGGGACTGCGATCAAGAACCGATGACCAATATGTGCCGTATTCGCTTTATGCATTGGTGCTGGAAGCGACACGCTACAGTATTATTATTAACTCCCAGAGGCGTCACTGGCGACATGCCAGGGGCCCAACAAATTAGGTTTCTAGACATTCTAAGATCTCGAGTTATAAGACGCATTGTACAATGCTCATCTGACTGACTGAAAAACTTTTGACTTTGTATCGGAGAGGTCAATCTGCCCTACTTGTCATACATAAGTCATGACTAACATATTTGCATATGGGTAACTTTCGAAATAATTAAAATATAAATAAAATCGGCTTTATTTGACATGTAAAATACATAAATTTCAAACATTAAACAAAGGAAAGTAAAAAATTTAATTCATATTAAAATAAAAAACAAATCGTATCAAAATGGTACATCTCAGCATCTGAGGACTATACCAATTAAATGGCTCGTCTTAAATTAGAACACCACAATTAAACGTACAAAAAAATCAGACTTCAACTAACTGTACAAAATTTTTAAATAAATAAAATTTGACACAAACACTGCTAATACTAGACTAACTTAAAGTTTTTTCAATTTGAAAAATTTGAATTATATGCTGATTTTGCTTAACAATAAAACTGAAGTTATGTTAAGGAGGGCAGCAATGTTCAACAGTGGACCATTCTCGTGTTGGATGGTCAGGAATTGTCTTTTGCGGTATGAACACGAACACCGATTTGAAATACATCGCTACTATTAATCATGGTTGAATATTAATTATTATAACAATGCCGTAACGTCAAGGCCGTGCCATCGATTATGTTCTGCTATAATCAGTCCCTTGGACACAGACTAGTTAACAAAACAGTATGTCAAGAAAATATCGTTCTTATCTTCACTAAAGCGT